CCGGCCGGGGGTTTGATGCGGGGACCGGGGGCAGCGCGTCCCTTCCTTTGCTCTAGAACCGGGCGGCCTTGTCGGAGCCGCAGCCGGATCGCTTGGGTCTGATTCTCACACGCTCCCTTCCTGCTCGGAGGGGAGGGGGCTGTACGGGCCCCTGGTGTCAGTTAGAGTGACCTCAGCACTGCTCTAGTTCGGGCTTCACCTTGGGGGTGGGGAATAGTGAGCTTGAGCTCTGACCATGCCCCCTATGGATCCTGGGGGCGGGGAATAGCCACAGCGCAGTGAGCTCAGGCCACGCCCCCTACGGGCCCTGGGGGCGGGGAATAGCCACAGCGCAGTGAGCTCTGACCATGCCCCCTATGGATCCTGGGGGCGGGGAATAGCCACAGCGCAGTGAGCTCTGACCATGCCCCCTATGGATCCTGGGGGCGGGGAATAGCCACAGCGCAGTGAGCTCTGACCATGCCCCCTATGGATCCTGGGGGCGGGGAATAGCCACAGCGCAGTGAGCTCAGGCCACGCCCCCTACGGGCCCTGGAGGCGGGGAATAGCCCCAGCACAGTGAGCTCAGGCCACGCCCCCTACGGGCCCTGGGGGCGGGGAATAGCCACAGCGCAGTGAGCTCTGACCATGCCCCCTATGGATCCTGGGGGCGGGGAATAGCCACAGCGCAGTGAGCTCTGACCATGCCCCCTATGGATCCTGGGGGCGGGGAATAGCCACAGCGCAGTGAGCTCTGACCATGCCCCCTATGGATCCTGGGGGCGGGGAATAGCCACAGCGCAGTGAGCTCTGACCATGCCCCCTATGGATCCTGGGGGCGGGGAATAGCCACAGCGCAGTGAGCTCAGGCCACGCCCCCTACGGGCCCTGGGGGCGGGGAATAGCCACAGCACAGTGAGCTCAGGCCACGCCCCCTATGGGCCCAGGGGGCAGGGCATAGCCCCAGCGCCGTGAGCCCTGGCCACGTGGGAAGACAGGTGCCAAGCGGGCAGCGTGGCGAGGCGGGCACGTGGGCGGGGCCCAGCCTCACAGGGCTGTGCTCTCTCTCCCCCCAGAGCATGCGGAGCCTGGTGCCCCTGAGGAAGGCGGGGAAGGGCCCGGGGCTGGAGGCGGCCCTGGCCGGCAGCGCGGAGCCGGCGGCGGCCCCAGTGGACGTGGAATTCTCCTGGCCCAAGTTCGCCAGGCTGAGGAAGGCCAAGAGCGCCAGCGAGGCGAGAGCCGCCCTGCCCGGCCTGGCCGCCCCGCTCCCCGCCTCCCAAGCCAAGCGCCCGAGGCTCAGGGTCCCCCGGCCGCGGGCGGAGGAG